GAGGTTGCGAGGTCTGTTGGAAATTAGACAAATGAGGTTTATATATCTGTGGAATAATGTCCAGGGTGGGAGAAAGAACTCTTGTCTGTTTGAGGCAAATGGCCACCTTGATTAGCATTTAATGGCCTTGCAGCTTCAAAGACTAGCTGGCTGTTGCCTAGCTTTGAAGCCATTGAAATCCACAAGCATGCGGATAATTTCAACAGAAAGGAGCAAACTATGATAATGAACAAAATCCGGCTACCAATATTTTAAAAAACTCTAAAATCAGGGCAGTAAATAAAGAGCAACTCTTAAAAAGCAGGGGAATTCCAGACATGTATCAATCAGGGCCAGCTAACACCTCCCAACAAAGGATTCCCTTCAGGTAGCAACCAGCCAGGCTTTGAAGTCGAAAGACCATTCAATGCTAATAAAGCAACATTCATGCGTGCCTCAAGCAGATAAGAATTTTTTTCTTCCACCCTGGACATTCCACAGAGATATATAAACCCCACTTGCCTTGTTTCCAACAGACCTCACAGCCTCTGAGGATGCCTGCCATAGATGTGGGAGAAACATCAGGAGAGAATGCTTCTGGAACATGGCTATACAGCCCAGAAAACTCACAGCAATCCAGTGATTCTGGCCATGAAAGCCTTCAACAACATATTTTGATGTTCTCCCGAAAATGGAGTTTTACCCTGAAGATGAACATCTCGACTGGACTGTAACAGCTTTTGCAGGCTGATGAAACAGGGAATTAAGACCTAATATTCAAAGGTGTTTTGAACCACTTCCTTCTTTTCAATCCCTTTTCCTTCTGTGTCACTGCTTTCAGGATTATAAACCTGAGGGCAAGTGGGGACTGTCTTATGATTAATCTTTGTAATCTACTGCAGGAGGCATTTTCAGCTGAAGGTGCAAAGTTAAAAAAAAAGTTTTGAATCAACAGACATGTACCTTGGCAACCTCTGTGTTTGGCCTTTGCCTATTTCCTTATGTTCATGAACATACATTTGCTTGCACAAAATGCACCCATTCCCCACTCACAGAGACTTTATTTACAAAGGGTCTGTGAATGAGAGTTCAGTCGTTGAATCTGCTTAATCATTCATACCAAACAGATGTACTCAGAAGACAAAAATGTGGGGGAAATAATGATTTATTACATAGGGAGACAAAAGGGGGACTTTTCTTCTTTTTTAGTGCACTTTTATTATAATTTTTTTGAATTCACATAAAAATGGACAGTTGCAAAGTCTCTAACTCAGGCATGGGAAAACTTGGACCCTCCAGGTGTTTTGGACTTCAACTCTGACCATTCCTACCAGCCTCAGGCCCTTTCCTTTTCCACCAGCAACAGAACCACCAGCTACAGAAAATCTTGCTGACTGGAAGGTTGGCAGTTCAAGCTGCCTATCGGGGTGAGCTCCCGCCATCAGCCTTAGCTTCTGCTTACCTAGCAGTTCGAAAAAAAACAATGTGAGTAGATAAACAGGTACCGCTTCCAGCCTCCAGATGCCAGACATGAAAAAGAGGGAAGCCTTTCCTCTGTCTATGCATTGTCTGTTTTCGTTAATTGTATAACAGCATTGAATGTTTGCCATATATGCATTCTGTAATCCACTCTGTGTCCCCTCGGGAGATAGAGTGGAATATAAATAAAGTATATTATTATTTGAAACACAAGATTAGTATCCACAGCAAACAACACTCTGCTGGCTGTTGTATTGGATCATACATCGGACACTTCCCAAGTGTCTAGGACTGTGTGATGTTGGTGAATAATGCATGCAGATCCGAGTAGGATGGCCTTCTCTAGCTGACAGATGGTAATTTTGTCAGCGCCGATTGTGTTTAAGTGCAGGCCAAGGTCTTTAGGCACTGCACCCACTATGCCAAACACCACTGGGACCACCTTTACTGGTTTGTGCCAGAGTCTTTGCAATTGTGAGGTCAGGAGTATTATTATTATTATTATTATTATTATTATTATTATTATTATTATTATTTTACTGACATGAAAACACAGTATGGCACAGCAAATGATATATGTATGCTGGATTTCGTATCACAAAATTTATTTATTTACTAGCTGTGCCCTGCCACGCGTTGCTGTGGCCTATAGTAAAACTTATCAAAGTTGAGGTAGATATCTGGACTATTATGAAAGAGAGGTACCTACCTATTCCTTCTCCCTTTTCCTCCCCCTTTCTCTCCTTTCTTCCTTCTCTACCTCTTTCTTTCTTTCCTTCTTTCACTACTTGGTTTCATCCTTCTCTCTTTCCTTCATTCCCTCCCCCTTTCTTCCTTTGCCTTTCTTCCCTCCCTGTTTGCTTCCTTCTTTCACTTTTTATTTCCTTTTATTTTACCACCATCATAACAATAACAATAATGCAATGCATTGCCTCTGGGACCTGACACCTCTCCCATTCCTCCAGGGTCTCATAGGAACAATAGCATAATAATAATAATAATAATAATAATAATAATAATAATAATAATAATAATAGAAATAACAACCTTTACCCGCCACGTGTTGCTGTGGCCAATCTTCCCTCTTTCTCTCCTTCTTTCCCTCTTTCCTTGTAGGGTTGCGTGTGCTTCCTTCCCCCTCTTTCTTTCTCTTCTGCTGTCTCTCTTATCTTTCCTTCCATCTTTCCTTTTCTTCTTCCTTCTTTCTCTTACTTTCCTTCCTTCCCCCTTTTTCTTTACCTCCCTTTCTCTTTCTTCCTTCTTTCCTTCCTTCCTGTCTTTCCTGGATTTTGACAGGGCGGGAAGGGGCGGGGTGGGGTTTGGAGGTGGCGTGAAGTAAAAGGAGGTAAGATTGGGGCAGGGGAGTGATGGAGCGTGGGGTTGTGTGTGTGTGTGCGCGGCGGGGGGAGTGATGGAGCGTGGGGTTGCGTGTGTGTGTGCGGCGGCGGGGGGAGTGGGGTTGCGTGTGTGTTGTGCGGCGGTGGGGGGAGTGATGGAGCGTGGGGTTGCGTGTGTGTGTGCGGCGGCGGGGGGAGTGGGGTTGCGTGTGTGTGTGCGGCGGGGGGAGTGATGGAGTGGGGTTGTGTGTGTGCGGCAGGGGTGTGTGTGTGTGGGAAGCGGCGCGGCGGGGCTTGGAGTGGGCATGGTTTCCGCAGAGGGAACGTTGGCCGGAAGGGCATGTGCGCGCGCCAGGGAACTTGCGGCTGGGCGCCAATGCGCATGCTCAGTTGTTTTGCCGTTTTGTGAGTGTGTTGTTGTGTTGTTTTTCATTTTGAGTAGATACGTTTGTACCTTGTGGGTTGTGTTATGGGCATGGGAATTTTGGTTAAGTTTCGTTGGGTTTTTTTGAGTTTTTTTTTTTGCCGTTTTGAGTGTGTTGTTGTGTTGTTTTTCATTTTGAGTAGATATGTTTGTACCTTGTGGGTTGTGTTATGGGCATGGGAATTTTGGTTAAGTTTCGTTGGGGGTTTTGAGTTTTGTTGTTTTGCCGTTTTGTGAGTGTGTTGTTGTGTTGTTTTCATTTTGAGTAGATATGTTTGTACCTTGTGGGTTGTGTTATGGGCATGGGAATTTTGGTTAAGTTTCGTTGGGGGATTTTTGAGTTTTGTTGTTTTGCCGTTTTGTGAGTGTGTTGTTGTGTTGTTTTTCATTTTGAGTAGATATGTTTGTACCTTGTGGGTTGTGTTATGGGCATGGGAATTTTGGTTAAGTTTCGTTGGGGGGTTTTGAGTTTTGTTTCCTCGTTGGATGCCCCTAACAAATTTATATATATAGATTATTATTAGAACTTATATGCCGCCACTCCCCTGGGGCTCGGAGCAGCTTACAAGAACAGGCTAAAATCGAACATAATTTAAAAACAATTTAAAAACAGTAATATCAAGGATCAAAGGCCTGTCAAAACAGGTATGTCTTACATGCCCTGCAGAAAGCTGATAAGTCCCGCAAGGCACGGACAAGTTGAACACTTTCTAAATGTGTGATATATTTTCGAATGATGCGTTCAGATCCAAGTAAGATGGCCTTTTGCAGTTGACAGATCATGATGTAGTCAATGTTTCTTGTTTCCAAATGCCGGCTGAGATCTTTTCACATGGCACCCAGTGCGCCAATGACCACTGGGACCACCTGGACTGGTTGATGCCAGAGCCTTTGCAGTTCAATTTTGAGGTCCTGATAATGTGAGTTTTTCCTGTTGTTTTTCCTCAATGTGACTGTTACCTGGTTTGGTGACATCAATAATCCAAACTTTTTTCTTTTCCACAATCACGATGTCTGGTGTATTGTGTTCCAAATCTTTGTCAGTCTGGATTCGAAAGTCCCACAGTATTTTTGCATGTTTGTTTTCCACTACCGTTGCAGGTTTACGATCCCATCAGTTCTTTACTGCTGGCAGGTGGTACTTGTGACATTCGTTCCAATGAATCATTTGGGCCACAGAATTGTGCTTCTGTTTGTAGTCTGTGTGATTTTCTTGCAGCAGCTGATGATCTGATCAATGGTTTCATCAGCTTCCTTTGGGTCATCAGCTGATTTTTCAATCCTGGTCTTAATTGCATTTGTTCTGAAGGCTTGCTCCTGAGCTGGCCTATTATTATTATTATTATTCCTACGATGAATGCATGGATACAGGAATCCATAGATGTGGAGGTCCAAGCGTGTAAGCACAAGACCTGTGTAATAAGAAAGTATTTGCCTGTTCAAAAGAGGAAAGCAGAAAAGGTGCTAAGCCAAATTCTCACAGGAGGGAGTTCAACATCCACCAAGAAAGCTCCCTCCTGTATCCTCACCAAATATTCCTTTGATATTGATAGGACTGAGGGAAACCCTTTCCTCAAAGATCTTAATAATTGGGCAGGTTCATACAAAGTTCTCCGTGACATTCCTGCAAGCAAGCTATCAAACGGGGTTGGGAAAGAATGAAAACAAAGCAGCCCAAAAATAAAGTTTCTACTACTGTACTTCCTTTTTCTCTCTCAGTAAACTGCCTCTACTCCTTTTGATTTCTTAACTGGTTTCATTTTCCAAGTGGCACACCCATGACTTTGCTTTTCCATTAAGCGGACAGTTGCATTTTGATTGAAAGCCTGCACAGCACAGGAAAAAAGCACTTGAAGGTTGTGTGAATGGCTAAGGGAGTGAAAAAGAGAGACTCTTGAAGCTGCAGGTGAATTTATATATCTATTTCTCTTGTTAAGGTACTATAGTGTTTGCAGTTAGCAACAGGTCCAGCTGACAAAACAGTTTAGAGGAGGAGGAAGTATCTGGGTTGTTATGAGTGGGTAGTTCTAACTTATGCAGTAACAGCAAACAACTGCAAAGTGAGGACTCAACAGACTTTGAAACAGCTGCACTCTCAGGCTAAGACCAAATAATAAACTTTTCCTCTTTGGTCTGTAAGGGCCCTTCCACACAGCCATATAACCCAGAATATCAAGGCAGAAAATCTCACAATATCTGCTTTGAACTGGGTTATCTGAGTCCACACTGTAATATATTCCAGTTCAAAGAAGATAATGTGGGATTTGATTCAGCTGTATGAAAGGGATTTTAGTGTCTGAGATTGAAAGAAATTGAAACTTAGTTGTGCAAAGTAGATTTTTTGGTATTAGACTGTATTTACTGAACTCTGGTGGCATAGCGAGTTAAACCAGTGAGCTGTTGAACTTGCTGACCGAAACGTCTCAGGTTCAAGTCCGGGGAGAGGGGTGAGCTCCCGCTGTAAGCCCCAGCTTCTGCCAACCTAGCAGTTTGAAAACATGCAACTGTGAGTAGATCAATAGGTACCGCTCTGACGGGAAGATAACGGCGTTCCATGCAGTCATGCCAGCACATGACCTTGGAGGTGTCTATGGACAACGCCAGCTCTTCGGCTTAGAAATGGAGATGAGCACCAACCCTCAGAGACTGGATTTACTGTCCAGGGAAAACTTGAAAACAGGTGCATGGGAGGAGGATTGAAGTGACGGTTGGCACTTCCAACTTCGTTTTGATAAGGCTTTTTGTAGAGACTGAATTTAAATAGCAATTTAACCAAAACGTTAGTTTTTTGCCCTTGTAAATGCAGCTGGATCAGATTTTAAAGCTTATCAATTAAATAAACATGTAAACTATTTTCTACTAAGTTCCCCATCTTTTCTGGGACATACAAAGCATTTGGTCAGCAACATCACTGATGGGGCGTTTCTTCAGAAAAGAAGGCACCAGAGATTAGGCTGAGGGTTGGTGTCATTTGGCATCTGTCATGGTTTATACTTCGGCTTTTATTTTATTTTTTTAAAATAAGTGGATTCATACATATATATTTAAACTTATGTTTCAGGTTATGGCAATCTCCTGAACCCCCATCGGTAAAAACACCATAGACCATAGAGCTATGTAGAAATAGTTACTTTGCACATTTTGTAAACTGCTTCCACAAGTTACTCTCAGGATCTTAATATCTGTAGTTTTGGCCAATCCTGTGTTCCATTTTGTTTTAAAATCTGTTAAGGTTTTCTGACTTCTCACTACTGGGGAGGCTGGATTTAGTTGATTTAGTTACTTTTCCTAGTCTTAAGGATGGTCTAATGATTAGATTGCCGTATTTGCCAAGCAGTCCAGCACATGGATTAGACGCTAATCCATGTGCTGGACTGCTTGGCAAACACACTGGCCTGGTTTTGAGAGCATTTCAATGAAGCTCTGCAAAAAGGACACCTGTCCTTCTCTATTAGTGCATTTTGCGTGGATTCCATTGTTGCCATGTCATCAAAATAGCAATAAAAGACAGTAGAAATTAATGACATGCAGGGTTGACTATTAGGAAATAACTATTTAAAAGTTTATCCTCTTTTAAAATAGGAAATGAAACTATTGATTTCAAGTATTTTTTACAACCCATATGAGCTGGCCCTTCATATCCATGGATTCTCCATTCACAATGTCAACTGTCCATGGCTTGATTTTTTTTAAATCCAAAAAACAAATCTTGATTTTGCAGTTTTATGTAAGGAAAATCATTTTCTTATGCTATTGTATATAATGGAACTTCAACATACACTGGTTTTCATACCTATGGGGCTCCTGGAACTGAAATACCAGTAGATACTAAGGACCCATTGTACACAGATTGTTGATCTGTATATAATTTCTCCCACATACATTCATTATATCCAGATTGAAGGTATGTATCCAGATGCAATTATTCACATGCAACAAAATGTTTATAGAGAGGCCTCTGGATTTAAGTTATTCAAGCTTCATTCAAGCTGTTGCCATATTCAAGCATCTTGAGTAACAAACAGTTGAACTAAGGTATTGTGGGGATGTCTGATGTAAATTTATTTTGTTTTTGAAATTATACTGCTGTTCATAAAATGACTATGGCTAACCCATGCAAAGACAAGTACTAGCAAATTCTTCATTGCTCTCTGAAATGAAAAAATACAAACTCAACCATATGTACTCGAATACTCCACTAAAGTTCAATTGAGGGATTAAATCTATATAAATAAAAATGTAATGTTCATTTGTGGGATTAACAGAACTCAAAAACCACTGGACAAATTGACACCAAATTTGGACACAAGACACCTAACAACCCAATGTATGTCCTTCACTAAAAAAATGATTTTGTCATTTGGGAATTGTAGTTGTTGGGATTTATAGTTCACCTACAATCAAAGAGCATTCTGAACCCCACCAACGATGGAATTGAAACAAACTTGGCACACAATTCTCCCATGACCAACAGAAAATACTGGAAGGGTTTGGTGGGCAGTGTCCTTTAGTTTTGGAGTTTTAGTTCACCTACATCCAGAGATCACTGTGCTCACAAACAATTATGGATCTGGACCAAACTCTACACTAATACCCCGTATGCCCAAATGTGAACACTGGTGGAGTTTGGGGGAAATAGAATCTTGACATTTGGGAGTTGTAGTTACTGGAATTTATAGTTCACCTACAATCACAGAGCATTCTGAACCCCACCAATGATAGAATTGGGCCAAACCCCCCAAACAGAACCCCCATGTGGGCCACAGCAACGCGTGGCAGGGGATGGCTAGTTTATTAATAAGCAGGCAAACTGAACAGTGCTGTATCAGCACCAAAGGACAACAAAAAGGATATCAATAGAAAATAATTACTGTATCAACTCGTGTATAAGACAACCCGAATATAAGCTGAAGCACCTAATTTTACCACAAATAACTGGGAAAACATATTGACTCGAGTATAAGCCAAGGGTGGGAAATGCAGCAGCTACTGGTAAATTTCAAAATAAAAATAGATGCTAATAAAATTACATTGAGTCGGCTAAATGCTTTTGAATATTGACATAAAACTGAAATTTTGGATAAGACTGTCCAACTCTGATTAAACCATTATTCTAACCTTCAATGTAAATGTGCTTATATATTCTTCCAATAATAATAGAGTAAAATAATACATGTAATAATAATAGAGTAAAATAATAAATGTACTAAAATAATAATAGAGTAAAATAATGTAAATGTAATAACAATAACAACAGAGTAAAATAATAAATGTAATAACAATAACAACAGAGTAAAATAATAAATGTAATAATAACAATAATAGAGTAAAATAATGTAAATGTAATAATAAGAACAACAGCAGAAGCAGCAACAGAGCAAAATAGTAAATAACTTTGACTGGAGTATAAGCTGAGGGGGGCTTTTTAGTCTTAAAAAGGTTGAAAAACTTGGCTTATACTCGAGTATATACGATAAGTAGTTCCATTATTCAGAGATTAAAAAGACCATTTCTATCCCACAAATGTTGGGCTTGTCAGCACCAGTTCTATAACTCAAGCGGAACCAGAAGTTGAACCTGGATATCCAGTTGATGTTCATCAGCTCCTGAACATTGGGTAAACTGGGCTGGGCTGGTTTAGCCCTACATTAAGCAAAACCCTGTTTTGGGATGGATTTGACAGCAGACCATCTCCTAAGTGAACTGGTATGCTGTTCACACAGACCAATAGTGCCATTACTACTTCTTTGTGCTCAGAGATGGACTGAAACATCTGGACACTGGCCCTACAGTCATCAGGTGTGTGCTGAATCTGAGGCAGCTCCAGGGCAGAAATATCCTGGAGTAATGTGCCTGGTGTAGACGTAGCCTAAATCTGGATACAACCCACTGTATGTGTGACATTGTCAGTGAAGTTTTGAAATAGATGAGTACAAAAAGATGCTGCATTGCTTCCCTGAAATTGAGCCATTGGAAGGACTTGAACAAGGTCTTCCCAATGGCAGCTCTGTATATCTTTGACTCTAGCGTGCTCATTTGTCCATCTTTCCATTCCTAACCAGAGCTTGTTGCATTCTTGTTTTAGGAACAGATGGAATTGCTGCTTGATAGTTTTCAATCACTTGGCAAGACAGAGAATGATCAAGCCTACACTACATGAAATATAGATGGTTGGAACACAGACCTTCTATCTCATTATGCCCCAAATCAATCTAGTCACTGTGAGGCTCTGCACTCTGCTATCCCTATTCACGTGGTCACAATGGAGTGCTGATACATTTGGGTTTAGTCGCTGTATTCTTTCTCCAAACAAAGTAGGCCTTGCTCTCTGTACTGGCCGTGCCATCTCCAACCTGAATTCTGCCATTTCTCCTCTGCCCAACTTGACCATCTGGCTCAATGTCTCCCATAATATTGTGGAAGATCTCACCTCTTCAACGTTCCTTCATCTTCCTCACCTTCTGGAACTTTATCTGGACCACAATTACATATCAAGCATTGAATCAAATACTTTTCAAAGCTTGGGAGACCTAGAGGTGCTTGATTTGAGTTGGAATAAGTTGGCATCAGTGGGCCCCTCTATGTTGATCGGCTTGAGAAACCTACATGAGCTGCATTTGGGTAACAACAGAATCATCACATTGCACCCCAACTCCCTCATGTTTCAGGTGTCTCTCCAGAAACTACATCTCCCATCCAATAACCTCTCCGGTCTGCAGGAGATAGCAACAGCCGTGAAAGGTTTACACAACCTCACCTTTCTGAATCTAGATTTAAATCAAATCTCCACTCCATGTATGGGCCCTGACTTGATTACTTTACCTGCTTTGAGAAACCTCAGCTTAAACAACAATGGCATTTCCAGACTAGACTTTTCCAATTGCTCCTTTCCTAATCTTCATCAACTGAACTTAACTCATAACAACATGTCAGCAGTGAAAGCTGGATCCTTTCGAGCCACACCTATTTTGGTGGAGTTATTCCTGGACATGAACCCCCTGCATATGTCCCAGCTCATAAATGTTTCTCTTCCTAATCTGACCATGTTACATTTGTCCAGTATGGACCCATCATTAAATAATACCATGCCAGAACTTTGCTCTGTCTTACGAAGTTTTCCGTCTTTGACATCTTTGGATATCAAGCACTCCAAGATTAATTACACCCAGTTAAGCCAACTGGGTTCCTGCTCTAACCTTACATGGTTAGATTTGTCCACCACAGAGTACAGAAAACTTCAAAATGGAACTTTAAGCATGTTTCAGAACTTGGAGTTCCTCTCTCTAGATAAGTGTAAGATTCTAAAGCTCAATCCTAGTGTTTGGGGTGAGAAGATGCGGTTGCGTACATTAATCCTGAAAAGAAATGCTATCTCCGAGTTGCCAGATTCTGTCTTCCGTCCATTGACGAATCTGAGTTATCTGGATCTTTCAAAGAACCGCTTGACCAATCTACAGCAGGGGTATTTCTTTGGCATGCCAGCACTACGAACACTCATCCTGCAGAACTGCCAGGTCACAGCAGTTACTCGAGCCACTTTTCATTATGCTCGGAAAATTGAATTCTTGGACTTGAGAGATAACAGCATAAAATTACTCAAGGACCGTGCCTTCCTGCTCAATCACATGGAGACCCTTCTGCTTTCTGGAAATAGAATCCTCACAGTTAAAAGAAATGCATTTCTCGGTCTCACTTCCTTGAGGTTCCTCTTCTTGGATCATAACTTCCTTTACAAGTTGTCTCTGAAACTCTTTGCACCCCTTAAAAAACTGGAAACCTTGGACCTCAGTCACAATTCTCTCTTTACATACCAGCGATTTGATTATCCAAGTCCTTTTGTAGGCCTCTATTCACTTCGTGAGCTGGACCTTAGTTTTCAGATTTCGAGATCACCCATCTGTCCTCCAGACAAACTTTTTGGAGGGCTGGAGCATCTACAATATCTCTCCCTAAAGGGAAACCCCAGTATCTTGTTCCTCAACCTCTCATTTGTCAACCTGACTAGCTTAAATACCCTTGACCTCTCTGAAATCCAACCATATAAGAATGGCTCCTGGAAACTCCGTCCAAATATCTTCCAAGGTCTTGGCAGCCTACATCAACTTTTGATGGAAGACAGTTCCCTCACAGATCTGCCTGAACGGATCTTTTCTAGTTTGAGCTCTCTGAAACAGCTGGCCCTGAGCAAAAATGACCTGAGGAATGTCAGCAAAAACCTGCTTGGTGGACTCTCCTCCTTAAAATATCTGGATGTCTCTGGCAACCCAATGACATGCTCTTGTGAGAATGCCTGGTTCCAAAACTGGTCTGTATCTGATCCAAATGTTCAAGTGGCATTATTGGGTGCGTACCTTTGTTTTGGACCTGGTGTGACTGATCGACTGTTTATTGATGAAGACCTGAGTTTCTGCTTTGAGAACTGGGGCATATACTTCTTTATTGTCACCACAGTGGTTATTCTCTTTTTACAGCTTACGACTTTGATCAGTGCCAAGTTTGGGTGGACTCTCAGGCATGCTTACTACCTGTTAAAGGGCTGGGGTCAGAGGCAGCTGCGTCCAAAAGGACAGGACTACCAGTATGATGCCTACATTTCTTGTTGTAATCAGGACTATGAATGGGTGGTGAAGAATGTGCTGGAAAAGTTGGAAAAGGAAGGAGAACCCTGCTTCCGGCTCTGTTTTGGGCCCAGAGATTTTGCCCCTGGAGAATATTACATAGACAACATACAGAATGGAATAAGCCAAAGCTGCAAGACCTTGTGCCTAGTGTGTAAGAATTATCTTGAAAGTGAGTGGTGTTCGTTAGAGGTTCAACTCGCTTGTTCTAAGAATTACTACCATGGGCAGGACCCTCTCGTTGTGGTGTTTATGGAGGAAATCCCAAATTACAGGTAAGCATGGAGAGTTCATCAGAAAGCAGTAGGAACAAAAATATTGAATGATGAGGCAGAACTTGGATGGGATGGGAGGAGACAAGCAAGGTGATAGGGGACTCCAATGGGAATACTGTAAAGAGAAAAAAGAGTTGGACATTTTGGTCACACAAAGCAATCTCATATGTGTAACACTCTGCTGTGATTAATATGATGGATATAAAGGATAGGCAGCCAGGCTGTGTAGATATCCCACCAATGATTTGGATATCCCACCTCTGCCACCATAAAATGTAGTAGGATGAATCAGTCAGGCTAGGGGTTTTTAAATATCTTTATTTACAGCTTTTATATTCCGCCCTTCTCACCCTGCAGGGGACTCAGGGCGGATTACAGTGTACACATATATGGCAAACATTCAATGCCAATTTTTGACATACAAACATATACAGACATACACAGAAGCTATTTAACTTTTCTGGCTGCTGGGGAGCTGTCACTTTCATCGTCCATCTGCAATGCTGATGAAGCACTTCCGTATTCCTGCATGCTTCCCCGCTGGAATACTTTGCTGGAGTCTTCTTTATGGCCTCATAAATCAGTTAATTTAGCCTCCCCACACTTTAAGGTGGTACCTTATTTTCCTACTTAACAGATGCAACTGTCTTTCGGGTTGCAAAGGTCGACAACAGGCTACACACAATTGGTTGGAAACCCACTCCAATAGTCCTGATCTTAATGCAGCTGACACTCAGCCAGCTGCGCCACAATCCCTTTGCCACCACAACTATAAAGGATCCAGTCAGGGGATGTTTATTTCTGCTGTCACCTTTTGTGTTCAGGAGCCTTGCTTTATTTATGTTGAGGCTTAGAGATGAGAGTGAGACTTTGTATAAGTTGAAACAATAACTGTTTGATTATTTGTCTCCTTTGAGTTACATAAGGGTGATGGTTTCAAGAATATATTACAGTACAGACGCTTGGTGGTTACAATGATGGATTTATTCTCTTATGAAGATGTTACTTTAAAAAATAGCTTCTGTGTGACTGTTGTTTATGTATTTCTTCTGCCTTTCCTTAATAAAAGGCTTTTATAATATTACTCCTAAAACCGATTTCTAAAAAAAACCCCTGCAATCCTTAACTGGACGCTGAAATCCTGACTACTTTGCACTTTAAAACCTCTCTACTACTAAGTGTCTTATCCAAGCTCTTTGATACCAGCTAAATGCACTAGCAACCCCAGTTAACTGAACAGGAATGTTCAGTTGGCCTCCTCTGACTGTAATTCTTGACTCCGCCCATCTCTCGTGCCTCAGCACCTGCTCATTTGCATCTGGCCAATCAGGCTGCTCCTATGCAAATAGCTCCTCCCCAGGCTCTGCTGCACGATGAGAGCCACAAAAGGGCTTCCTAGCTTCCTGGTTTTACAAAATGGCTATTCACACACTATTATTTATTTACAGCATTTATATACCGCTTTTCTCACCCCAAAGGGGACTCAAAGCGGTTTACACATAGATAATGGCAAAAATTCAATGCCTTACAACTACAACAGTAAAACCACACTTTAAACATAAATCATATTAAAAACAGTACATAATCAAATATCAAACAGTTATTAAAACCATAAAATAATCCCATCAGTCGTGTCGCCGTTCCAGTCCTTGTCCCACTAAAAGCTGCATACATCTATTGTCCGAAGGCCTGGTCCCAGAACCATGATTTTAATTTTTTTTTCTAAAGGTCAGGAGCGAGGGAGCAGATCTTACCTCCTTTAGGAGTGTGTTCCATAGGCGGGGACCACAGCTGAGAAGGCCCTGCTCCTCATCCCCGCCAGCCGCATTTGCGCTGTTGATGGGAGCAAGAGCAGGGCCTCCCCAGATGATCTTAAATTGCGAGATGGGACATAAGGGCAGATACGTTCGGTCAAGTAAGCTGGGCCCGAACCTTATAGAGCTTTATAGGTCAAAACCAGCACATTGAATTGGGCTCGGAAATGGACCGGCAGCCAGTTGATCTGGCATAACAGGGGGGTGGTATTCTCTCTGTATGCCTCCCCAGTTAGTTATCTGGTTGCTGCCCGTTGAACTAACTGAAGTTTCCGAACTGTCTTCAAAGGCAGCCCCACCCTTCGAGGTAGGTCACATACCAATTTCCTCAGCTAAATCAGATCCGTCACAATGGACAATGTGAAATATAAAGTTTCCCCCCTTTCTTTCCTCTTAATATTTGGGGGGTGGGGTTTGAAGGAGTGAAACTGATGGACGGACAAGAGAAAATATTACCTCAACTCAAAGAATTTGCTGCTGCATGATGTGATGAAGTCACCTTAGAGAAAGATTTGAAGGGAGGGATTTGACGAACTCGTGAAGAATCGATATGGGAATGATTATTTAACCAGAAGTCCCATATTCAGAACTTGTATGCCACAGCATACCAGTTTTTGAGGAGCAAGAGTGATATGCCTTCTAGTTATAATTACGGTAGTTGGTCACTAAGGGAAGGAAGATGCTGGATTGGACAGATTTTTGTGTGCCGCAGCAAGCTCTTCTTGATGTTATTCAATATTTGAGATATGTTTTTTTTGTTGTACATATGTATGCATATGTACAAGCCCCAGAGAACAGGAAGCTTTAAATTTCAGTCCTACCTTTCTCCCTAGGTTGTCTCCTTACCATCGCTTGAGGAAACTAATTAAACAAGAAAGCTACCTCACTTGGCCTGAAGATCCTGAGGCTGAGGCTGTGTTCTGGACCCGGCTGCGTGAGGCCTTAAGCTCTGGACAGCAAGAACGAGAGTTCAGACCATTCAATATAATTGAGTAGCTGATGACTGAGAAGAAGACTATCATGGTTTGACATATTATCACTTGGTTTTCTCTGAAATGACAAAGAGCACTTAAGATGAAATGACAGGCAGTACTTGATGCAACCACAAATGGTACTGTTGAGTGCCATGTTATTTTTGTCAAATCTGGATACTTCATTAGTATTTACATCTTCTTGCAAAAGAAGCATCCTAGAATCATGACTTGCTTTTCACATTTTTCTCAGTGGGTGGTAAAAATATCTACAAGAGAACAAAGCTGGACATTTGTTTCTGAGGAAATATTATTATAAATCTACAATCAAGGACCTGGATTCTGTTGCCAGTCCTGCCTAAAGTAGACTCATGGGATCAATGGGATTTACCCATGTTTTTATCTACTATTCAACAGTTTATTGAATTGATCTATTCTAGTTGAGACTAACCAACAGGCTTCCAGCCAAGGTTGATTACTTTTAATGTTATGATTTGCACGGTACTTGATGGCTGAATGATCGCACAACAGCTCAAAGATCTGAAGATTACATTTGTATTTCGGTCAAACTTACACATTTGTTTTCAGTTTTAAAAGATATCCACCTGGGTTGGGGACGAGATGAGTATTGAAGGTGGGAACATAAAAGTACCTGAATTTGATAAGAGGGCTAAGGAAGAAACAGGAGAGTTACAGCGTATATTCTTGATCTAGATCCTGCATTACATAACCTTTGGGCTAGCAGTGACTATCTGCTGCTCAGTGCTTACCATCTATTCTCAATCTGCTGTAAATAGGGAGTGTTCTTTTTTAATTCAAATAAAGGCACTAAAATAACTATTTTCCTAAGTGAAACAAATTGAGGTTGGGAGAGAGTGACATTGGTGTGCATAACAAGAGTATCTCATTAATATATATGTGCTAGACTTCGTTGCTTTGAATTAACATATTGTTCCTGATTTACTTATGTGGAAACAAAGATTCTACTTACGATACACACTCATGTATAAGTCTAGAATTTTTAGTCAAAACTTCAACACAAAAACTGATTTATCTATGTCTGAACCTATCTCCCTCTATGAACCATCAAGGAGGTTAAGATCTTCTGGGGAGGCCCTGCTCTTGGTCCAGCCTGCTTCACAAGTGTGATTGCTGGGGACGAGAGACAGGGTCTTCTCAGTGGTGGTTCCCTGGCTCTGCGCCATCCCTCCTGGCCTTTAGAAAGAGAACAAAGACATAGATATGGAACCAAGCTTTTGATTAGTAAAGTAACACAGTACAATAAGCAAATATAGAATATATGCAATTGACATTGGAATGGCCCAGTCTATGCACTTGGATCATGTGATTTTAATGTTTTTATTAGCTGTTTTTAATTCTTATATTTCATGTTTTAAATGTCCTTTTTCTTATCTTATAGTGAATTGTCCTATTGTTTTTATGCTCTGTTATATAGTGTTGGCATATGATTTGGTTTATGTTTGTAAGGCATTAAATTTTTCCATTATTTCTGTGTAAGCCGCTTTGAGTCCCCCCAGGGGTAAGAAAAACGGTATATAAATACTGTAAATAAATAAATAAATGGACCAATGTAAGTACAGTCAGTCCCAAAGTTACAAACAAGAAAGGTTCTTTAAGTCTGTTCTTAAACTGAATTTGTATGTAAGCCAGAACAGGTACATCATTTTAGTGTAACTCCAGCCAATCATGTGTGTGTGTGTGTGTGAGAGAGAGAGAGAGTGATTCAGTTTTGGATAGCATAGGGAATGGTTAACACCCCTGAGGTGTTTGTTTTGCTGTCTGTGTTCAAAATATTTCACCTCACTTTCTGTTCTTATGATAATTGGATTTTGAGAAATTTGGTTTCTTGTGGGAACAAAGGCCCCGGAAGTGGTGCAGCGCTTTCCCCTCTCTGCAGAATGACCATTGATGCATCCATCAATCAAATATAAATCCTTAATTTTGCTCCCAGACCTGCCCTTGACTTCTACATGAGGTCAGTTTATATGTGAATATGTACAGTACTGGTTATTTAGATATTTTGCCCCTTGAGACATAGATCTATATAATGTATATGTCTGTCTATCCTGGTACATTGTTGGTTTGACTGACTTTCTTTTTTTATCATCTGCAAACATCATGCAATCCAAACTCAACTGTGAATATGGGACTCCATATAAGTAATTTTTGTTCCAAAAGAAACCAGGAAACTTAGCTTTCCTGTTTCTGGCTGGTCACTTAATTCCTTTGAGTGGCATTTTATCTATTCAAGTCTCTTTATCTGCTGGGGGCAGTGTCATGAGCAAGCCTCATATATAGGCTGCTGGGCGAGGGCCCTAGCAACGGGGTTGGAGAGGATGGGCCAGGGTGAACGAAAGAGCTTTGCGGTGACACCTTAAGCTCATTAATTTCTCAGTCACCAGGGGAGACTATGCTTCTCTCCACATCACCAAAGGATTTGGCAAATTGGACAGGAAGGAGAGGCAGGAAAAGCACAAATCCCACCTACCCACAGTACTGGGAAGCCTGCAGGCAGTTTGGTTTTGCTCAGTAACAAGACATGATACATACCAAAGGAAGAGAGAAAGGGCTTTGTTTGCAGAGAGAACTCTGACTTTGAAGGCATTTAAGGAGCAATTTCTCATCCATGTTTGCTGGACCCAATGTGAGTAGCACTGTTGTACATTCAAATGCAACTGGATTATCTTTGACCTATCTACAAAGATATTTGGATCTGCCTTCTAACATAGGCCTTCAACCTGTCCTTTTGTGGCACTGAATAGGCATCTTGAGGGGGTTTTTTTGGGTGGGGAGAGTTGGTATTCTAAGAAAGGATCTGGACGATGGATGTTACATCTAGATCTATTATGTGACAGGGTCCTTAAACTGTAGAGCAGTAGCCTCTAGCTGGAATTATCTCTGTTCCCCATCCTGAATTGCCTTCTCCATCTCCATCCTGAACCCCTTCTTTATCTATCAATCCTATCCTGAAGTGCTCTGTCTACCCTGTCCCTTTCCCATCTTCCAGCATCATGACTGTTGTGGAAATGGCCTTGCACTGGGTATTGCTCTGCCTCATCTTTTCCCCTCCGGTACCGGCCTCTGACTATGCCTTGCCGAAATTTATCTGCAGCCCTATGCCATTGGACATGGATAATGGCTGCCAGTCGGCCAGCCAACAGCAGCGGCATGGCGCAGGAGCTAACAGTGGGGGCACGGGGCACTGGGTAGGGACTCTTGAGGAAGCCAAAGAAACCATCCTGCACCTGCGGGAGATGGTAGTGCACCAGAAGGAGGTGATCCTAGACCAAAGAGAAACAGTGCGGGAACTGACAGCCAAGCTGAGCCGCTGCGAAACTCATTCTGGAAGACATGGCACTGAACACCATAATGGTCATCATGAAGAGAATCTCAGCCATGGGCATGGGCATGGGCACGGGCAAGGGCATGGGCATGGACATGGACATGGACATGGGCATGCTGAAGGAGGCCATCGTGGCCATCATGAGAGTGGGCATCGGCCCCACCATGAAAATGGTCACCGAGCACATCATGAGAGTGAACTTCCTGGACACCATGAAGATGCCCATAGGGGACATCATGAAGCTGGTCACCGAGATCCCCATGAAGGTATCCATGCCAGGGAAAATGAGTACCATCATTTTGGACAACATGAACAGCATGAACTCCAGGTGGGACATAACACGCATGATGCCTTTCGCAAGGGAGCTGCAGCTGCCAACACCATGGAAGATCCACCCAAGGAGAACCCCTCAGGAGTAAACCAGATGGAGCGGATGCTGGAATCACTCAAGGAGAGACTGGAGCATCTGCAGGTACTTATATATCAAATATTCCTTATTGAGAAAAAAAATGTTCCTTGTTTTTTTTAATGCACTTATTAATTCTCCTCATGTTGATCCGCCTACTCCTTAGAACTCCTTAGTACTCATGTACCATTAGGTCTTGCACCCATTCCCAAATCTACCACCTTTCTTCATGTACTAAAAAAAAAATTTGGCACTGTATCTCATGCACATATATAGGTTGTTACAATTTGAGCATTCCTTATTCTGCATGCTGAGACCCCAAATACTCCAGAATTGCCCTCATGGATTGCTTAGATCAGTGTTTCTCAACCTGTGGGTCCCCAGGTGTTTTGGCCTACAACTCCCAGTAATCCCAGGCAGTTTACCAGCTGTTAAGATTTCTGGGAGTTGAATGCCAAAACATCTGGGGACCCATAGGTTGAGAACCACTGGCTTAGATAGTGATACCTTTGCTTTCTGATGGTTCGATGTACACAAACTTTGTTTCATGCATCAAATTATTTAAATATGCGCATAAAATCACTTTCAGGTTATGTATATAAGGTGTATATGAATGTTGTGACTCAGCATAACTGGATTTCGGGTTTATTTTTGGGTCCTATCTCCAAAATATCTTATTATATATGTGAGTAAAAGATATTCATATTTCAATAACCAAAAGAATTCTAAATTCCAAAGTAGTTCTGGTCCCAAGTTTCTCGGATAAGAGCTATCCAACTTATATTTCCTGTTTAAGGACCCTTTCATACTACACATCTGTAATACTATGATTTTACTTCAACTACCATGGTTCTTTCCTGTGAAATTCTGTGATCTGCAGCTTAGGGAGGGAGTATTGAGAATTTTCTGTCAGAGAACTCTAGTGCTTCACCAAACTACAAACCCCAGGATTCCATAGGATGTTGCCATGACAGTTAAACTGAAATATAACTCTGCAACCTACCCTCCAACTGTCCCTATTTGGCAGGGAGAGTTCAAATTAATCCTCTGTTGACCCACTTTTTCAGCTATTTTTAAAATGTCCTAGTTTCTCTCTCCATCTCCTACTTTCCCCCTTTGTCCTCAGCTTACTTCAGTTGCTGAATCCTGAGTTCAAAGTGCAAAACTGGTTTGCACTCAGTTAACTCAGCTGGGTGGAAAGGAAAAAAGAGATTGGATTCTTGTCTTTCCTAATATGCACAGGCAAAAGCAAACTGATGTAGCCTCTCCTCATTTACATGTTTTTCCTTCATTTTTGGCTTGCCATTTTTATCACACTTTAATATTGCTTGACCACATTTGTCCTGGTTTTCCTCTGTGAAATGTTGGAGGATATGCATGAACCAGCTCTAGGCTAATTCTATACAATTTATAATTCTGCCAGTTAAAAGGTCATCCACGTATTCCCAGATCTCAATCCCCTAAACTTGTATTCTTGCAATATAAAAACCAATGGCCCGCGGCCTGGTCTCTGGCTAACAGACTAAATTGTCTTCTCCCTGCTTTGTGGCAGTTTTTAAAATAGAAGGAGATTCCAGCTGAGTCCCTTTTTAATCTTCTTTCCTCCAGTCTAAACATACACAGCTTCCTTAACCTTTCCTCATGTGACACACTTCCTAAATCTTTTTGTCATGTTGCCTGCATCCATATAGTCTCTCTTCTGCCAATATTTCTGCCTTTCCTCTCCCATCTGTCAAATTAACCACCTGAAATGCTGATCCATTACTTCTGCAAGGAATGGTAGAGTGCATGGCTTCCTGGAGTTCCCAGAATATTCCCCCTCCCCCTAAATAAAAGGACAAATGTAGGTTAAGTATTTTGCCAGAACTTCATGATGGTTGGAAGGCACTGACCTTACAATAGACTTACATTGTCGCTTCACATTAAGAAGAGTTTGTTTGGCAGAATATGAAAATGCTATTTTAAAATGTGTTGTTGAAGGCTTTCATGGCTGAAATCACTGGGTTGCTGTGAGTTTTCCGGGCTGTATGGCCATGTTCCAGAAGCATTCTCTCCTGATGTTTTGCCCACATCTATGGCAGGCATCCTCAGAAGTTGTGGGGTCTGTTGGAAACTAGTCAAGTGAGGTTTATATATATGTGGAAATCTCACTTGCCTAGTTTTCAACAGACTTTACAACCTCTGATGATGCCTGACATAGATGTGGGTGAAACTTCAGGAGAGAATCCTTCTGGAAAATGGCCATATAGTCCAAAAACTCACAACAACCCAGCTATTTAAAAAAGCTTCAAATCCCTATTAACATAAATGAATATAGTGCATGCCTAACACACCATGAAAAACAATATTTGATTCACTGTTGTTAACTCTTAATGGAAAAAACCCAACAATCCTGAAAGCTATTGTCTGATTCCAGCTTAACTTTCTACATACAAACTTCTATCCTTGTGTATCTCCAACTGTTCCTATTTACTAGGACTTCTGAAATCAGTTTGGGCCACGTGGGAAATGCTGTTCATAATTCCTCCTAAATGTATCCTTATTAACTCAACCTCACAATTCAACATTCATACTCCCATTCAAAGCATTCTTGAGTGGAACTTGCTTTACTGCATCCAATCCTACATTCAATTTCTGTGACTTCAAAAATTGAAATCTATACAGAACTGCAAACGCATCTACATATTCAATATCCTAGCAATTTTGATCACCCTACCCACCATCAGAAAAAAGGAGCCCCTGGTGGCGCAATGGGTTAAACCCTTGTGCCGACAGGACTGCTGACCACGAATCTGGGGAGAGTGGATTGAGCTCCGTCTGTCAGTTCCATCTCTCCATGCGGGGACATGAGAGAAGCCTCCCACAAGGATGGTAAAATATCAAAACATCTGGGCATCCCCTAGGCAACGTCATTTCACATGGCCAATTCTCTCACACCAGAAGCAACTTGTAGTTACTCAAATCACTCCTGACATGAAAAAACCCCAGAAAAATCCCTGAAATCCAAAGCTTACACAAATTGATTAAATGAGTCTCCAGAAGGTCCTTCAGGTAACTAGGCCCAAAGTTACTGTCAGCTTGTTATACATTACAGGATTGTTGTGCATCTTGTACGCCATTCTAACTCCTTGGAGGAAATTTAGGGTTAAAAACATAATCAGCAACCACAGTGGCAGGCATAGTGGTAACAGAAAAAGAACCCTGATGAGTACAATCCTTCTCTTCTGCAGGCTAAACATGCCCAGCTCTTTAAGCCACTTCTCATAGGGCTTGTTCTCAAGACCCTTGATCATTTTAGTCACCCTCCTCTGGACTGAAGAGAAGTCAAACTAGCCTGCAGTCCTCTCTCAGGAACCCTATAAGCCTCATCTCACAGCATTATTCTTTGAATATGAAATGTGATCAAGCTGGCCTGCGTTGGCCAAAATAAATAAATAAATAAATAAGAAAAAAAAAGTTTGATACTTTCCTTCCCCCTTTCAATTGTATATCTCTTTTGTTGTGAGAAAAAAAGTGTTATTGTCAACCCAAGTATAACACAACCTTTTAAAAATGGATATTGGGCCCCTTCCACACAGCTGAATAAAATTGCACATTTTCTGCTTTGAACTGGGATATATGGCAGTGTGGACTCAAATAACCTAGTTGAAAGCAGATGTTGTGGGATTTTCTGCCTTGATATTCTTGGATATGGCTATCATTATTTTCTATGGGTGAGTAGACTACTACTGGTCGAATGGTAATATGTTCTGTATCTCAAAAACTAGAACTGATGGGGAGAAACTGGTGCCTGCCTCTTGGGCCCTGCTCCTTCCATTTTGAGGTGTCCACCCTCTTCACAAGGCGTGGGCAAACTTCGGCCCTCCGGGTGTTTTGGACTTCAACTACCACAATTCCTAACAGCATGGAGTGCCAAAGTTTGCCCAAGTCTGCTCTTCACTTTCACAGCTTTCTCCTTGCACGTCCGTTTGCTAATTCCCTCAGGAAGGTCATCCCCTCACGACTCCATCTCCATTGTCCTCTTCCCGCCCCGCGTCCTACATACTTGCTCCCATTCCCTCTGGTGCTATCGAAGAACTAAATTCTGAAATGATCAGGAAGCTCTCCCTCTCATTCTTCTCAAGCAAAAACAATTAAAAGAGAATATATACATATAAAATATTCCTTTGTGGTAACTATCTTTGAATCTCTTTGGAGGGGGATGTCCAACCGCTTGCAGGATTCTGAAATTCTGTGGAGAGGACAATTAAACCGTAATGCAATAACAACGACACATTCAGAAAGAAAGTCATTCAAAGTGGTGTAGAATTAAAAAGATCATGCAAGCAATGACATTATAGTAGAGTATTAAAAAGTTAGAACCAAAAAAATCCAACAAATGTAGCTTTTATTACACATTTTTCCATTCTATATATCTATAAGTGAGAGAATGATGTAGGCATTGACCTTGTAGGTGTTTGAGAGAATGAAGTAGGCATTCTACCCCTTCACAAGTGAAATATGGTAAAAACTTTCTGAGTTTAATATAAATATCTAAGGCATCCTCTATAAGGGCGCAATAAAATGGTCTCATATCTTCCTCATCATGCTGTTTTCCTCATCAAAGCAGATGACTATTATGAACTCTTGTTTGCAGTATCTAAAGTAATCCAATGAGGAGGAGGAAAATGAAAGGAGAAGTAAGAAACCGGGACATCTTAAAAAAGCTTAAAGAGTGTACAAAATGAAATAGAGCTGTCTCTGTCAAATTGGGACAGTTGGATGGCATTCCTCGCCTGTAGAAAAACAGTTTATATAGCAGATAAACGGTTCAGGACCTGCCTATTTTTGTGACCGCATCCTCCCCTACGAGCCCACACGGTCCTTAAGATCTTCCAGGGATGTTATTCTCTCGTTCTCACCCCCGTCTCAGGTGCGGTTGGTGGGGACGAGAGAAAGGGCATTTTCGGTGGTGGCCCCTCATCTCTGGAACTCCCTCCCCAGGGAGATTAGACTGACAGCTTCCCTATCCACATTCCATAAGGAACTAAAGACGTGGATGTTTCGTTGTGCATTCGACTGATGACTCCTTTGACAGAAGGTCTCTAACCATGACCTGAATTCAAATTCCTATATTTGATTACTACATTTTTAAGTTAAACTGAAATGATCCTGTTTAATTGCTCTATTCCTATGCTACTATACGTTCTATCCACCTTATTGACCAGCCTATCCTTTAACTTGTTTTGCATATTGGCCCCCTCCCCCCCAAAAAACGAGTCTGTTGTTGCTTATGATGTTTGTTTATTATTGTTATGCTGTTTTTATGCTTATTTTAATATCTTATAGTTCTGTTTTTAATTGCATGTTGCCTTAGGGGAGATGGAGGCGGGATAGAAAAATAAAGTTCTTCTTCTTCAGATAACAATGTCACCAAATGACTAGCTTTTGGTCCTAGATCAGTGGTTCCTAATCTTTTTTTGACCAGGGACCGCTCCCCAACATTTGTACCAAAAGGGTTACAAATTGGTTTTTGGTCAACTTTCGATTCAGTTTGGTTATTTGGGATGCTGATTCAGAAAATTGCATTGAATAGACCACATCAGCTCTAGTTTATGATAACTAACATATGCCACCCAGTAGTTGCCATCTGCTTGCCCACAGAAAGCCATATTTAATAATCTAGAGTTGATGTGGGAGTAATCATCTTTCCTGGGTAGTCAGCCTCTCCCTCTCAACATCCCGTTGCCTCGGCACTATAAGAGGGTTTCATGAGACCACTTGCTCTCGTTGCTGCATGGTTTCGAGGCAATGGCATAGTAATGATGAAACTACGGACCATATTTTCATTCTTGTGGACCACTGGTGGTCCATAGACCACGGTTGGGAACCACTGGTCTAGATCTTTGAGAATTATGCAACAAAATGTGACCCTACCTATAGGTTAGAAAGAATTTAAAATACTATGATGGCTTAAGCCAGACATGTAAATTAAAAGGGTTCCTGATTATACACCAAACTAATATATACCCACAAGTACAACAGTATGTATAGGTCAATAATCAATAAACAGATATGAAATATAATCTTATATTGAATAAACAAGAACAAATTTACAATTATAATGTTGATGATCTGTACATCAGAATGAGTATCAAACTTAACATAAATTTGCTGCTTGTGAAGTCTGTCAGTTGAGCTGAAGAGTTTGTAGAGCACATGACCGGTCTTGACTTTTTTAGTCATAAGAATATTGTAATACATTAACTGGAGCTTATAACATTTTCATATAAATACAGTTATAAATCAGGTATAAGTACTCACAATTGTACATTCCCGTGACAAATACTTTACATTCCTCTCTCAAGTAGTATTCTTATGTCTTTTTTCAATTTACATCAATGGTGGCTGGTAAATTTATGTTTCATTTGGTATTCATTCTGATGTACGGGGCATCAACATTACAATTGTAAATTTGTACTTGTTTTTCAATATAAGTTTATATTTCATACCTGTTTGTTGATTATTGACCTATATATACTGTTGTACTTGTGGGTATATATTAGTTTGCTAAACCTGACATGGTCAAACTTCAGACCTCCAGGAATTTTGGGCTTCAGTTCCCATAATTCCTAATAGCAGCAGGCTGTTATTTATTTATCCATTCATTCATTCATTTACAATATTTATTTTCCACCCTTCTCACCCCTCAGGGGACTCAGGGCAGATTACAATGTACATATACATGGCAAACATTCAATGCCATAGACACACAACATATATAGACAGACACACAGAGGCTATTTAACATTCTAGCTTCATGAGGGTATTCTGGCCACCAAGGGAGCTGTCACTTCACCATCCATTTGTGACAATAGTTATCTTTATTAAAAAAGCAAGCAAAAGGTATATTATTTTAGGAAGGACATTCCCCTTGTGTTCACATTTCCTGGAGAGTATATAATCACTTGAAAGTGATGGGATTATGCTTCCCCCCTCCCCCCGAAACAAATTGTGTTTTCAATGTTAGTTTTACACAAAATGTGTGGAAATGTAAAGATTTCATTGATTAGTCCACTAAATTTCAATTGAGGGAACAGTGCTGTATGGATATCAGCACCAAACAGCAACAAAGGGGTTGTCAATAGAAAATAATTACGCATCTACTTGAGTATAAGATGACACAAATATAAGCCAATGCACTTAATTTTACCACAAATAACTGGGAAAACATATTGACTCGAGTATAAGCCAAGGGTGGTAAATGCAGCAGCTACTGGTAAATTTCAAAATAAAAATAGATACCAATAAAATTACATTAATTGAGGCATCAGTAGGTTAAATGTTTTTGAATATTTACATAAAACTGTAATGTAAAATAAGACTGTCTAACTGAATAAACCATTATTCTAACCTTCCTCAATGTAAATGTGCTTACGTATCCTTCCAATAATAACAAAGAGAGTAAAATAATAAATGCAATAATAATAAGAGTAAGATCATAAATGTAATAAAATTAATTAAGTAAAATAACATAAATGTTATTTTAAATAATAATAAATAATAAAATAATAAAATAAATAATACCAATAATAATAGAGTAAAATAATAAATGTAATAACAATAATAGAGTAAAATAATAAATGTAAAAATAATAATAAATAGAGTAAAATAATAAATGTAATAAAAATTATACTAACAGAGTAAAATAATAAATAACCTTGACTTGAGTTTAGGCCAAGGGGAGCTTTTTCAGCCTAAAAATGAGGCTGAAAAGTTAGGCTTATACTCGAGTATATACAATAATCTTTGGAAACAAAACTTGAGAACCGCTGGCTTAGGCACTATAAGCAAGAAAGCATACCATCCAAATGTCTCAATTCGGCACAGACAGTATTGGCCAATTCACTATCATCCCACCTTTTAAGCTGCTTTTAAAATATACCAGCTTGGCTCTTTTCCCACTTTCTCCCTTTGTCGTTGGAATACTTGAATTGCTGCAAATTTAGTTTAAAGTTTAAAGTGCCAAAGTAGTCTGTCCTCCGTGGAGAAGAAGCAAGTCATGCTCAAAAGCAACTTAATGCAGCCTCACCTGGCTTGTGTGTTCCTCCCCATTAGTCATTTTTGCCTGATGTGGCTTATCCACACATTCTCTATTTTCATCTGTGAAATGTTGGAGAATATGAGGTAGGCCTTCTTCAAATATCAGTATCATTTGGGTTTTAACTGAATGAGGGGAAGAAAATGAAGCAGGACTTCCAGCATCATCACCTCCCCATAAAGATTGTGTTAATAGACTAGTGATAGGACATCTATAGGATATCCAATTTTGATTCTGTTGAGAGCACAATGGAGCAGAATTTCTCCCAGTGACTTGTTGTTGTGCGTGAAGAGACTGTACTGTGCTTTTGCCATCACTGTGGGCGGCAACGGAGATTACGAGAGCATCTAAGGCATAAACCAAGGTGTGGGGACTAAAAATACACCTGCTGCCCTTTCCCCTTGCATTCCCCCTTCTTAACACGTAAGCAAGAATTATGTATCTTGACCAAAGGTGTAGGGGGGCAAAATAAAGGCACTGCCTCAACAAATGAAATTCTCTTTTTGTCCTTGATTTCCTAGCATTGCAGAATGAGACACTGAAAATTGTCCATACGTGTTAGTATCCCTGGTTCACTTTGCCTGCTCTTTTCTTTGGATGTCAGTGCCAAGTTGGATTTACTGCAGTGCTAGTAATGTAACAACCAAAAGAAAATTACATGGGACGAATATAGCATTTTTATCTGGATGGCAATGTCTTTATTGCTCGCCTATCCTCTATCACTTTCTCCATTTGTACTCAGCAACATTAAATTGCTGCAAACTAACTTCCAAGTCTAGAAATAGTTTGCATTGAATTAAGTCATAAAAGAGTTGAATCTTGATGGGGCGGGGGAGAAAATAATATGCATTGCAAAGGGAATTGGGGTTGTTTTACTCTTTTGTCTCTACACCTCTGCGAAATTGTTTTTCACTGTAGCTGTAGCTCAGTTAACAGGTCAGTAAGAGGTTCTCAAGACAACTGCTGTTTACCTTGCCTGTTGTAGGCAAGCACAAACATCTACAGAAGGATAAGCTTGAGGAAAACCCTGTTTGTTCCTCAGCCCAAGTTTTAGTGCATTATTTACTGCAGACAACTTGCAGGTCTGGATTTCTCCAGCACTCCTTCACCTTCCTCCCAATGCTAATGCTGCTTTAAAAAGAGACTTCCAGCTAGGTATAATGAAACATGTGATGAAATGGAAATCGTGCGTAGTTCATGTTTGACCAGTCCATACGCTGTCTTGCCAGAGAAAAGATATGCCATGCAGATGATCAACAAAGAACAAGGATTTACTCCTTGTAATGCAGAGCAACACATATACAACAATGTGAACATTTGCATTGACTCACACAATGTCTTTTGAGAGAGAATTCAAATGGTCTTTAGGAATCCATGTGAGAGGAACAAATCTGTCTCCCAGCAGGCCAGAAGCAAATCAAACTGTCTCTTCAAGTTCCTGCACAACCCATGCCTGAATATGTAACTGTTGCCAAAAACCCCAGGCTCAGCTAGCTTCTGGGTGTGGCCCAACTAATCAGCTTCGTGCTTTGCATTTTCAGTTAACACTGACTAACTGATATTTACTTGCCCTAACAACATGCCCCTAAGTAAAAGAACTAATAGTACGTGTGGAATGCCTAATAAAAATGCAAATTTTGGGGGCGGATTGGAACCAAAGTAAAAAGGTCTAGGTGTACTGATGCCTCAAGAAAGAAAGGTCTTCCAATTAATGCAAATGCCTCTTCTCTCTTTCCCAGCACAACCGGAACAGCTCTGTCTTCTCCACTTCCCTACGTGATGCAATTCAGAAAAAAATTAGCATCTTGGAGCATCAGCTTCATGAGAAGTTAAACACAACTGACCACCATGCTCACGGTGTGCCAACAGCAGCAGGATTGAGGCACAAACATGTTTCACATGGACATAGTGTTGAGAAAGGTATGTTCTCCAGAATGAAGAGAGGACATCTGGCTTTGTTCTAGTGGGGTGAATGAAGATGAATGGGGGGCAGCTAGGCATGCTTGGAAACGTTTTTTGAACAAGAGTGCTCAGAATTCCCAGTTCAACATTGCAATTAGCTGGGATTCTGGGAGTTGTAGACCAAATTATCTCGAGTGTTAGGAAGGAAGGATCAGTTGAACAAAAATAAAAAGATTCAGTGAAAGAAAGATTGATTTAACTAGTGGTATGAAAATATAGATGGGCAATTACTTGTTACGTTTGCAGTTGGAGAAAGGAAGAGGTAGATATGAGGAGACAAATGGATTAACAGAATTGTTTAGTACTTATTTATTGCACTTACACCTCATAAAGGAGTCCCCGGTGGCACAAAGGGTTAAACCCTTGTGCCAGCAGGACTGCTGTCTGACAGGTTGGCGGTTTGATTCCATGGAGCGGGGTGAGCTCCAGTCTCAGCTCTAGCTTCCCATGTGGGAACATGAGAGAAGCTTCCCACGGGATGATAAAAACATCAAACATCTGGGCGTCCCTGGGCAACATCCTTGCAGACTACAATTATCCCATACCACACCCGTTCAGCAGTGGAACTCTGCTCCAGAGTGTCGTGGAGACTCCTTCTTTGGAGGATTTTTAGCAGAGGCTGGATGGCCATCTGTCAAGGGTGCTTTGAATGCAATTTTCCTGCTTCTTGGGAGGAGGTTGGACTGGATGGCCCACAAGGTCTCTTCCAACTCTATGATTCTAGATGCGCAAGTCACTCCTGAAACGGAAAAAAAAATTACACCTCATGTGTCGCCTCAGAAGCTCAAGGCTCTCATCTTCGCAAGCCAATCTGTAAATTATGTTAGGCAGAGAGAGAACAGGTGGCCCAAAGCAGAGCTAGACATGTTACTATTCAAAACAAATCCATCTAGTTACTTTCCGCTGGATGAGATCCTGTATCAGAAGACATATGTATGCTATGTAGCTAAATCTCTTTAGCTATGGCCTCTGGATGCTATCTCCACAAAATGCAATTGCTTATTAAAAGGATAAGCCTTTTCGTGTAGAAATAAGAGGATGTAATTATGTTATGGATGCACTGTAAATCAATTTTTAAAAGAGATGAGCCAAATTGATGGGAGAGATTATAGGCCAACAGATCACTAGATAGGCCATGGTAGGACAGAATGAAAGAAAAAGAGATTTTTTAGATGGGTCAGCAGACAGATAGACTATTGCAAAACTAGAGAAGCTGTGGTCCACCATAGGTTATTGTGGGGCAGGTGGCACACGTCAGCTCTGCTCAGCATAGCCGATGTGAGAGTTAGAGGGAAACAGCTCTGAAAGTCTATTTTATCATCTCCACCTCCTCTAAATATGATTTTCCCTTGTATTTAATTTTTCAGAACAGATACTAACCAAAGATTAATTTTTCATTTGGTGGGAAAAGAGAAAATGCCTTCTCATTGAGATTTAAAGCAAATCTCTGAGACTTGCTTCCCATGGAGATATACAAGATGACTAAGGGCCCTTCCACACAGCCATATAACCCAGAATATCAAGGCAGAAAATCCCACAATCTGCTTTGAACTGGGTTATCTGAGTCCACACTGCCATATATTCCAGTTCATAGCAGAAAATGTGGGGTTTTATTCAGCTGTGTGGAAGGGGCCCAAGTTTCCATTTTTGACAGGCATTTTTTTAAATCAAGGATGAAACAAAGGGCCCTTTCACACAGCCCTATATCCCAGGATATCAAGGCAGAAAATCCCACATTATCTGAGTGTGGACTCAGATAACCCAGTTCAAAGCAGATATTGTGGAATTTTCTGCCTTGATATTCCAGATATAGGGCTTTGTGGAAGGGCCCAAAGGCATGTGTTTATCCAACACAAGCTGTATGATTCTTATATCTGTGTTAGATTAGTAACAGCAATGTTTAATTAAGAAGAGGCACAGACAACTGCAGTGATGAAGCCAATGAACAGGAATAGCATAAGGTATGGTACAAATAGATAGCAGATAGTTCCTCCTCCCTCTTCCCTCTCTCCTTCCTTCCCTCTCTCTTCCCCTCCTCTTCTCTTCTCTTTGGCTTCTCCTTCCTTTCCCCTTCTTCTCTTCTCTGTTGACTTCATTCTCTACTCCTGCCTTCTTCTCCAGTTCCTCCTTCAATACTCTACAACAGTTTCTTATACATGCATAACTACGTAAACATCTCGGTTTGCCCCCCTCAAGAGCAAGCAGCTTGGTCAGATAAAGGAGGTCTGTTCAGCTTCTAGTCTGATCATCAAAATAATGATGTTTCCAGACCCACTAGCTCACAAGTGAGTCTGCTACATGAAATTGTCATAGGGATCCTGCTACTGATTGTTGCAACCTCAATCACTAGTAAGTGTGTGTGTGGGGGGGGGGGGGGGGGGTTGAACCCTTATTAGCAGCTGAAGAGTTTCACGATCTGACCTGGCTACTTGCTCTTAAGGTGGGCTATGGGGGCATTTATGTAGTCTTCCTGAACCTGTAGCAGTTACTGATCCATAATTCGAGGTTATGAATCAATAACTGTAATACAGATTATCACCCATCATCATCACTGCCATCACCATGTACAATGTACCATCTGTATGCGTGGTGCTGTTACAAATAATAAAAAGACAGGCCTTACATTGTAAAATTGAATCTAAAGGAGTTGAAGGGAAGTAATGCAAAGTAAAGGGGAAATGTGTTTTTTTTTAGTTATTTCAATTACAGTAGAGTCTCGCTAATCCGACATAAACAGGCTGGCACAACATCGGATAAATGAAAATGTCGGATAATATGGAGTCTCCTACTGTTACCCATCTGATGCAGTGCTAGACACCTAGAATACCAACAACGGGGACTCAAAGGGTTAAGGCAAGGCAACGTCTCGGGGCTAGAGCGGCCCAGCAAGAAGTGCCCGGATGTGGAAGAGGAGCATGGAAATCACAGAGGGAAGGATGCTTCTGTTTCTGGTCCTGCCTCTTTTCCCCCTTTCCTCCCTCTTCCTCCACCTTCTCTTGCCTTTTTCACTTATTGGGGATGGAGAAAGTGTTGGAAAGCACTCCTTTAATGGAAAGGGAAATGCTGGTGGAAAAGGGGGGTGTCGGATAAGAGCATCGAATACGACGGAATGTCGGATAAGCAAGACTCTATTGTACCTTTACATAGCCTTAGGGACTGTTGCTCTTGGAACTGCAGAAGGCAGGTCTGGGGATGGATGACTGGCACATAGGCAGGCTAGTTGGCAGCTTATGTATGGACAAACCCACTTCCCCTCCATTTCTCTGTGTTGGCAGCTCAGTACCACATCTCTGATCCCCTCTGTCCTCCAGGGCACAAAGTGGAGAAGCATTCCGACGATTTCCGTGTGGGATTTCCCCTCCGCACCAACTATATGTATGTCAAGGTCAAGCCTACTCTCCATCGTGAAATCTTTTCCTTCTCCATCTGCCTCTGGCTCAAATCCAGCTCTGCACCAGGAATGGGTACCCCTTTCTCATACTCAGTGCCAGGCCAAGCCAACGAAGTTGTGCTCATTGAGTGGGGAAATAACCCTATGGAACTACTAATCAATGACAAGGTATGGGAACAGGTTTCATATAACAGGGTTAGGACTAATCTAGTAGTTTGTTGATTTTGGTTGTGGGAAACTATGTGTGAAGAATTCCATAGACCTAAAAATCAAAATCCCTTAATCCAGTGATTTTCAACCTGTGGGTCCCCAGGTTTTTGGCCTACAACTCCCAGAAATCCCAGCCAGTTTACCAGCAGTTAGGATTTCTGGGAGTTGAAGGTCCAAACATCTGGGGATCCACAGGTTGAGAACCACTGCCTTAATCTCATATGTCTTATTGATGTTTTTTCAGATCTAAAGAGAGCCTAACAGTAAATTCAGAATACAGAAACTTGGTTTGTTCACTGAAGTCTCAGGTCCACTAGATTGTATTTTGGGGATGTCACTCTAAATAGGTTCTTTTCAAGGGGTGCAAGAAGGTCAAGATCTTTCCCCCCAAGAATTTGCAGAGTATCTATGGATATCAGTACTTTTTGTGCTAGAATATTCTATGACTAGAGTGCAGCCTACCTCTCTGAGGCAGGTTAAAGTCCAATATTTTCTTCCACTAGAGATCTGAACCTCCTTCTCACAGGTCCAAGACTGTACCGTCTGCAATAAAATGGCTGCCATTAAAACGGTGACACATTTGTGTAGCTATACTAAAGGCTCTGCATATCTTCTTAATCCCCCTTTTGACCCTTTTCTAACCTTTCTTTCATAGGCTGCCACATTGCCATTGACCATTAATGATGCTAAGTGGCACCATATCTGCGTGACATGGTCAACCCGGGATGGCATTTGGGAATCTTACCAGGATGGAGTCCGAAGAGGGAGCGGGGAGAACCTGGCACCCTGGCATCCTATAAAACCTGGGGGTGTTTTTGTACTGGGCCAAGAGCAGGTAAATATTCCTCCTAAACTGTCATCTACACTGGGCTTTTAAAGGATTCCTGTAGATCAGGGATGGTTAGTTGCAGAAGGGGTGGTGCTGAACTTTTCA